GCCTTAGTGATACAGCAAAAAATTTAAAAAATGGACATGGCATGGTCTCTATCCTCACACAAATAAGGTTCTGGTAGGGAGGACAGTCATTAGTTAATTATAAGTAATTAAATACAATTTTGAGAAATACATGAAGAAGTACTCTACTGTATAGGGTACTATACTGAACATTTTAATTGTTTTATGTAAATAAAATTGTAAAACTCAAGTCATGTTTGACTTCTGCAATTACAAGAGGTGCTAAAAAGTGACTTATAGTCATCTTTTGTTATCGGTATATACTGAATATTACAATTTTAATATAATTTCTTTCTTCTCTTAAAATGTGTATACATTTTTTTTTGGCACCCCCTGAGTATGAAACATTTGTGAGAAAATTATTCTTTGGCTGAGCTTTAAAGAATGAATAAAATGGCAAAGCACCTTCGAGGTAAAGTAAATAGTACATATATTAGAGTCCTGAGAAGAAGAGTATGGTATGTTCTGAGAGAAAGCTATAGCAGGGAAGAATAGCTCAAAATAAGCTGAGAATAAGATGATAAATTGCACATGTTTGAAAGATCACTCTGGCTGTCTTGTGAATGATGGATTGGAAAGTAGCAAGACTAGATTCAGAGTCTAGTCTTTTCACAAGGTAATCCAAGTGGTTAGCTGTGGCTAGGGTGTGGATAATGGAGATGGAAAGAAGTAATAAGATTTCAGATAAAATTAAGAATCGCTTTTATTATGAAAACTTACTTTTAATACCTATTTTTCTTTGCAGAAAAGTATAAACAGCTTTGAAATCAAGCAGTCCTGGATTTGAAGGCTCATGCTAATACTCACCCTTTGGTTATTTAACTCCCAACATGTCAGACTTGGATATGGGATGATGTGTCAGAAAATATGAACAGTCAAATGCTAAACATAGTAATCTACTTACAGCCTCAGTTTTACTCAAATAACTGTTTGAGGGCAGTATTTTTTATATTAAATATGATAGTATGAAACGGACTGCAAACTGTGCATGAAGTTTTTGCATAAACCAGGAGACTTCAAAGAAAACTTGCAATTCTGATATGCTGTATTGGGTTAGACCCACATATACCAAGATTAACTCTCTGTACCTTAGGAGTATTTCAGCAGAAACTTTTTAAAACAATGACTTTACCTAAGACTGAATTTTCTATTTAAAAATCTTCATAGGTTTCTGTGAAGATTAAACGAAATAAATGAAAACTACAACACTGACCTTGCACTGGAACAGTTCTTAAAAGACTACTTGTACATTAGAAAGCATTCAGCATAGCTCTAACTTATTTTCTATTTTAACAACTGATGGGTCATAATATAAACATTATTACTTAGTACCTACTGCTGGCGATAATGGGCTACATTACATTATACTTGTTACTACAAGTTATAGCTTAACTTTTGCAACTAACAATAGTCATCTGAAAATATTCAGCATTCTGCCATGTTTAATACATTCCATTTTGTATTAACTTACTACATTAACAAATACTAAGTAAAAGTTAAACTACTCAATGTTTGAAACATTCTACCAGACACTAGGATGTGGCTAAGAAAACAAAAAGCTAGTTTCTAATGTTATGTCAAGTTTCTCCATTGAGCCAAAGACTCCATTACAGATTTTAACAGATACTATAGGTAAAAAGTTAACTATAAAAATGCCTAATTTAATAAATGTGAGGAGTGAAAAAAAGAGTTGAAAGCATTATAGAAATTTGAAGAAGGTACACACATCACTTAGCCAATTCCTAATTCTTTAGGGATTGTTCCCTTTGATAATTATGACACATAGTTGGATCATATAGTATATGCCATATAGCTAGTTTCTGATATTGATTCTACATTTTCACTTTATTTTTACTGATTAATTTTAAATTACTTTTCTAATTAGAAAAATTTCTCATTAGTAATTCTAAGTTATTTACAACTACTTTTGTTATTTTAACAAAATTATTATTCATCACAGAATAATTTTTCCTTTAAAGATGTAAGTTGTATACAATATAATTAAATATCAAATTTTCCCTAGACAAAAAACTTGAGATACATTAATTTGTGATAAAAAATATACATTTGACCAACTTTGCTAAAATAACTATTAAATGAAAAACGATTAAGAATCAAAGTTCTATAAAAGCCTAATATTTCAGAAAAGAATCATGTAAAAATCTTGAAAAATACATTAGTTCGCAATACATACGAGGGATCCCTACTTGTTGTTTTCTTATTGCTGGACCAATGTTCAGTTTCTTATCCTTATAATTAAGTTTCTCAGCCTAAAATAAAGAAAAATAATTTTATTATTTTGTTACTATTATTTGTAAAACCAATAAGAAAAAACTAGTGAGAAAGAATTAAAAAAATTCTGAGTCTAACATTCTTTGAAAAGCAGGGAAAGGGTGGTCTTTGGATTCAAATATTAACAGATATGAGTCTGGGGTGGCGCCTGTGGCTCAAGGGAGTAGGGCGCCAGCCCCATATGCTCGAGGTGGCAGTTCAAACCCAGCCCTGGCCAAAAACTGCAAGGAAAAAAAAATAGATCTGAGTCTGAATCTTGGTTCCAATGCTCTGACCCTAATTTCTCATTTGAAATACAGTTAACTCTCATTTTTATGGATTCTGCATTTGAGAGTTTTCCCATTTGCTAAAATTCATTTGTAACAACAAAATTAATACTCATGGCAATTTTGAGGTTATAAGCAGACATGCATAAAATCGTGAAAAATTTGAGTAGCCTGATGCACATGTTTCCAGCTGAGGGAGGTCAGTCAAAGCAATGTTTTGGTTCTCATATAAGAGAGAGCTTCCCCACTTTTGTTCTTTCTCCTGGTGATTTTGTTATTTAAAATGGCCCCCCAATGAAGTGCTAAAGTGTTGGCTAGTACTCCGAAGCACAAGAAGGCTGTCATATGCCTTATGGAGAAAATATATGTTAGATGTGCTTAATGGAGGCATGAATTACAGTGCTGTTAGCTGTGAGTTCAGAGTTAATGAATCACTAATCTATTATACATAGTGTCTTTAAGTAGAAACACACATAAAATAAAGTTACATATCAATTGGTTGATGGTAATACTGTGATAGAATTTCCTCACCCTGTATTTTCCCTAGGAACAGTAAGTAGTTTAGCATTCACTAAGTCGGTGTTGGTGGCAACTTTATAGAACATAACTCCCAGAAATAACAAGCACTGAGTGTATATGATTTTAATAATACAATTCAAAATCTACTTTTTTCTAATATAAAAATTAAATGTTACATTGCCATAGCAGAATATTATTACACCAAGATGCAGGCTATAGACTTTTTTAGTTTATATAAACTTTTTCATAAGAGAGAAATAACCTCAAATAACCACCCTCTTTAAGAATCCATGTTTGTAGCTGTATTTTAGACATTCAAAATGCTATTAACACTCGGCAAAACATACATACTCGTGTTCTTAGTTTAAGCAAATAAAATGAAATGTTATAATTTCACAACCATAATCATGTAATGATTATAGAATTTTTTTCTTCTTCAGATAAAGTTTTTTGGAGGCCATTGCCAATCTTAAGATATATTTTTAGTAATTGATCATTTGTACTTGAACCCTACTATTAAAATTAAGTACCTGAAAGGTAGTTTCTTTTTTTTAGAGACAGTCTTACTTTGTTGCTCTCAGAAGAGTGCTGTGGCATCACAGCTCATAGCAATCTCCAGTTCTTGGGCTTAGAAGATTCTCTTGCTTTAGACTCCTGAGTAGCTGGGACTACAGACGCTCACCATAATGCCTAGCTATTTTTTTGTTGCAGTTTGGCCGGGGCTGGGTTTGAACCTGCCACCCTCAGTATATGGGGCTGTCGCCCTACTCACTGAGCCATCGGTGCTGCCCCTGAAAGGTAGTTTCAAAGAAAAAAATTCTAAAAATGAAATTAAATACATAAAAAGGTCATACCTCTTGTAAAATTTTTTGTGCATCTTCTTGTGTTTCAAAAGTGACGAAACCATACCTAAATAAATGTATTCATTATTACTAATTATTTTCTTAGAACATATTAATTCTATTAACATTAAAAAAATTTATTCTTTAACAATGACCCACTGTAGGAGTAAGTATCATTCTATGCTGCACCAGCATGGGAATCTTAGAAGAATCTTTCACAGCTTAACACTGTCACCTTTCTTAAAATAGGGGAACTAAAAGAAAAAAAAAAGAAATGCCCTGGAATCTTGAAACAGTTTCAGTCCTTTGCTGTACATGAGGTAAAAGAACAGGAGAGATTAACATTCTGGCTTAAAAACTTGAATGCAATGAATTTCAGTATGGAACAATAATCTCCTTTTAAAATAAAAGGAGTTTGGCTTGTTTAGAGAAATCAAAGTAGAAAAAAATACTTTAAAAAATTGAAAAATTTCAACACAATAAAATTTCTTATATAGGAAATGACTATACAGATGTGTTAATTTTCATTAGCACATATAAACTGGTAAGGCAATTATCAGTATATTTAGGTATAGGTATAAACAGTTAAGACAATTATTAGTATATTTCCCAAACAATATTAGTTAAAAAATATATGCAACCCAGATTTTCATCTTATTTTCATATATGATTGCTTTCAAGCACAATTCATATAATGTCAATATATAATTACATGATGTGTATCATGTCCCCAGAGCCAAAACAGGTAGAGAAAAATGAAACAAATGAAATAAAAAGGATATCTTATAGAGCTTAATTTCTATTGAGATAATTTAAGGACACTCTCTCAGTTTAAAACTCTTGAATACTATTCAATTCACAATTCTTGTATATTACATAATTTTTTTTTAAACAAAGGAATTTCTCTTTATCTGTTTGCCCCAAAATTAAATGAGTTAAGAAATTAATTTTGCATTATTCTTTTTTTGTTGTTGTTAGAACACATACACCACCCAGTGGAAAAGGCATAAAATACAGTTTTAATTTCCATGTGTGTGCATGAATGATAGGAAATGATTCTTAACAAAATATTGCAGATTATGTTAGCCAAAAAGAAGGTACAATTTCACTACATGTTAATATTGTTTGGCAGTCTGAGGAAGCATTTCATCTGTTTAAAACTAACCTCTTTGTACAATCCCACCTCTTCCAGAGAATCTACCTGTCATACTTTAATATTGTTTCTTAGTAATACTGTTTTCTATCTAATTCATTGGTCCCTTTTCTTGTCCCTGTAAATATGTAGTTCTCCTCTCTCAAGAAAACACACACAGTCCTTATCTATTTTAACTTTGCAGTCAAACTTCTTAAATGAACATACTATATAAACTGCCTTTTACATAGTGCTAAAATTTGGCTTTTATACACATGGCAATCTACTCAAATAGCTGTACATGTTTCAAGTCACAGTTTACTACTTTCTTCTCAGATTTCATTCTTATTGACGTGGCAATAAGGAGTAATTCTCTGCAAGGTGTGTGGCATATGCCTATATCTTAGTGCTCTGGGAGGTTGAGGTGGAAGGATTATTTGATGTCAGGAGTATGAGACCAGTTTAAGCAAGAGTGAGATCTCAACTCTAATGCAAATAGAAAAAATTAGCCCGATGTGGTAACCCTTGTAGTCCCAGCAACTTGGGAGGCTGAGGCAGGAAGATCTGTTGAGCCTAGGAGTTTAAGGTTGCAGTGAGCTATGATGATGCCACTGTACTCTAGCTGGGGCAACAGAGTAGACTGTCTCAGAAAAAAAATCAGCCTCATTAGAGTTCTGTTTCTCATATTAGTTTCCTAATTAGGCCTCTAAGATATAACCTACAGACATTTCTTGGGGTCAGTTATTTGTAAATAAAGCTCTCTATAGTCTAAAGTAGGGATACTATTCCAAAAGCATCCAAATCCTTTAGCATTGGTTCCTCAGCTAATGTACACTTGCTACTAACATCTGCCTAACAGTGAACAGACCCTCAACCTATACAAGAATAATTTCACAACAAATTAAGGAATATTACAGTGTCCTCTCTCCAAATACACATGTATGCATATACAAAAGAAATAAGAACCTAAAAGATGGGGATGAAAGAAGATGGCATGATATTTTCTGTTGAAAAAAATGGAATCAAAGTAAATTAGCATATAAAATCCGGTAATCCAATAAAAATACAGTTGTTAATTCCATATATTACCTATATAATACTAACCCTTTAGACACTCCAGCTCTGTCATTTACGATCTTCACTTCTTTTACAGACCCATACTGGGAAAAGAATTTTCTTAAATCATTTTCATTTGTCTAATGGCATAAAAAGAAAACATTAAAAATATTTTTAATTGATAAAATATGAATAATTTTTATGCTTATTTTGGAGACAGGAAAAGGCAGATGTTAATATGGATGAAGAATACCTCTTGTCATAAAAAAAGTGAAACCACTAGGTTTTTCCTTTTTTTGTTGTTGTTGTTGTTGCAGTTTTTGGCTGGGGCTGGGTTTTGAACCCACCACCTTTGGCATATGGGGCTGGTGCCCTATTCCTTTGAGCCATAGGTGCAACCCCCAAACCACTCGGTTTTTAAAATCAATATAAATACCTTACTATGTACACAGTAGCTATGTTGTTAAACTATTATATACTAGTCAAACATTTTTAAGTGGAATTATTTTAAAACTACAAAGAAAGCTCAATATTTAAAGCAATCTTTAAATGATTCTTGTTTTCTAGTTTGCCAGTTTTAAAACACCAATTTGGATTAGACATGCTATCCCTATAGTAAAATCATATTACTATTGGTTCTTATAGCTCAGAGAAGCTGATAGTCCTGGCAGTAGCTCTATGTCATCTTGGCCTACACCAGTCACTATTTTAATCACCCTAGTTTCCAGGAAGAGTCAGGTCTTAGGAAAATGACATATTTCCAAAAGTGTTGAATTCAACTTTTGATAACAACAGAGTAATTGTAAGATTTTAAGTTATTAAATAAAATTCAAATATGTTTTATCTGGATTTAAAATACATTTCAGCTAAATTTGGACACTATGATGATATTCAAAATAAAGATTGGAATTATAATTAGACTGAAATGTACAATATGGCTACAAAGATGTTTTTGGCATATCTGGTTTTAAATGAAATAGTCTGATTAATAGGCTCATATCATCTTTTCCTGAAATACTGACACTAAATTCACTACAATTGCATTTTCTGGTTTAGCTATAACTATTTGCTTACATGAGTAACTTTAAATGTCCCTACGAAAAATTTTTTTTTGAGACAGAGTCTCACTTATTCTGTTGCCCTGGGTAAAGTGCTGTGGTGTCACAGCTCATGGCAATCTCAAATTCTTGGGCTCAAGTGATCCTCTTGCCTCAGCCTCCCAAGTAACTGGGACTATAGGTGCCTGCCACAACACATGCCTATTTTTAGAGATGGGGGTCTCACTCTTGCTCAGGCTGTTTTGGAACTCCTAAGCTCAAACAATCCACTTGTCTCCGCCTTCCAGAGTGCTATAATTATAGGTGTGAGCCTATAATGCCCGGCCCCCCAAAGTTTCTTTATATATGTGGGAAAAAGATATGCCTTTGCACAGGTAAGCTTTTTGAGTTCAACTGCTAATTACATATACTGTTGGCTTTTAGCTGGTAACATAAAGCCTATTAAACTGAATAATGGCAAATGCTGATTTAATCTAATAATAACTAAATGCCTTTTATTTCAGTTAATAGAAAATGGAAACAATGCAAGAATAAGGATGGCGATTGGAGATCTGTAAATAAATTAATTCAAACTATTCTCTAGTAGAAGAATCACTAGCTCAGTTTTGCAACTCCACTTCTTTGTTGAAAAGGAGAGAGTCAAGATATTAATAAATATTAAGAGGATAATTTATAGGTTTCTAAAAATAAGAGGTTAAAAAGCATGAGACTATTTGCTACTATAGTAAACTATTTCCTTGCTAGCATTTATCTATGGTTTTAAAAAGGTATAATAAAGGGAACCCCACCAGTTCCTTAAAGCTATGGCCATATTCCAAGGATGGCCTCTAAGAGTTCATACCGTAACCGATGGGCGTTAGTAACTTAGAATAATCTGGGCATACAAATATATTTACTAATGATTTATTTTTAAAAATACGCTAAGCTATTTTAATATAAATGAATTCTTAATAAGAATACCCAAATTGAATATTTCTGATCCACCATTACTGTTTTCCATAGATACAGAAAATTTTTTAAAAAATAAACATTTTATAAGAAATAATTTTTCTTACCTTACGTTTAGTGAAACAATCATATACTTGCTTAAGATTCATTATTTTTGCAAATATACTAAATGTAAAATTTCTCTTCCGCAGGAAAAAATTCCACCAAATTGTGATAGATTACTTATAGAAATACTGAGTTATAAATGTTAAATCACACACCACACACATACGAGGGCTTTTTTTGGTTAAAAAATAACTCTCCCTATAAGTTCTAATATGTAATACGGAAGCTTGGAAATCCTTCTATATATCCATTTGGAAATAAGAGTATTCCTCTTAAAATGTCTATGCATACCTTTCTTGTGTTTACTACTGCCTTCCACTTGGGGGTTACTGCAAATCATTTCACAAATCATGCTTCTTTGAGAGTGAAATGGTTGATTACATGACTTAAATATACATATATTACTGCTAAGATGCTTTTTTCTGATAGTCACACAGGCCTTTTGGGGGGATCAAATTCTAAATTCTATCATAGAAAGTAATTTGCAGAAGATAGAACTCTAGGAGGTTGTTCTAGGAAACTGAGCTAAAAGTTGGGATAATGAAATAGAACTTCATATATCTAAGGCTTTCTTAAAATTGAGTGTTTTTTTGAAAATTATAATCACTCATTATTTGGGCTTTTGAGTATTTGGCAAGGAAATATAATTAGTTTGGTATAGTGACATAAAGAATATGGAGCAATGAATCAGAAAACTAGGATTCTAGTCTCTTGCTGCCACAGAGTAGCTAGGAGCAAATCAATGAACCTCAATTTCCTTGCATTTGAAATTGGACAATTGCATATAGTCTATTTTGCTTATGTAATTGTTGAAAAGATTCTTTAGACAATTTGAAATCTATTAATCACTACGCAAATGTTATTACTTTATATTGCACATCTCAAGAAACAAATGTGGAGAAATAAAAACTTTTGCAAAAAATACACTATGTTGCACACATAAAAATAGATACCTTAAAGTCAATTCCTCCTACAAAGATGCGATTAGGGATCACTGTTCCATATCTTGGGGCACTTGTTGGGTTATTCAAAGGCACAGGTGACACAGGATTAGGGGATGGAGATAAGGAATCTGTTTGCGTCTGATTTGATGTTTGCTGTAAGATAAAATTCTTTTAAACTTTAATACTGAGTGTAAGTTTCAATGAAGGCTGAAAATATGTATCTTTCAAAAAGATGAGTCATTTACGCAAAGTATAATATTTTCAACTTTACTTTTACTCGAATTTTATAAAGATTATAATTAAAGCTAATGGCTTTGTTGGGCAACAAAATATATAGGAAACAATCTACTCCACTATAAAGAAGATCTTAAATATTAAATATATTATTTAAATACATTATTACTAAATGTATAACTTAATTATTAAGGAGGAATATTAAGCTCATAAAGATGTTTAAGAAAAGAAAAAAGTGGCCCCGGATAGCTGGGAGCTGGTCTGGCACAATCAACCAGGCCCTGGTGGTGTTAAGAGTTGGCCTGGAACTCACAGCTAGGCTGTGGTATTCTCTTGTTAACAGAACACCAACATCAAATAAGGTCACTTGATGACTGATGCATCAAGATAAAAACAAGGCCACTCCATAATCATGTCTGAGCACAGACAAAAGCAAAAGCATTGCCCAAACACAAGAATGACCAAACATCCCTTATCCCAGGTGATATGACTACTCCTCCTTTATTCATTACAACTTTAACCGTAATCCATTTTTCCTACCTTTTAGACAGAATTAACACATTCAATTATAGAATTACTACTAATTTCTGACAACATATTTTCCACAGTAAAACTCTTCTTTCCTTAAACCTCTCTAAAAATCACTTAACACAAGCCCAAATCTTGTAATAAGTTCTAACACCCTCTGACTGAGACATCCATGCTGTATGTTCTTCCTTGTTTCACTAAGACTACAGAACAAATTTTACTAAATAAGACATGTACATGATGGGTTTTGGCTAAAGAGCATTGACAAGTTAATAACTCTGACATTCATGTTCACCATTTTCAGCCTGAAAGTCAAATTTCAAGAGTACTTGTCAATTTGAAGATTAGTTTTGTTTTGTTTTCCCAGCTAGAGCACAGTGACATCATCATTGCTCACTACAACCTCAAACTCCTGGGCTCAAGTGATTCTTCTGCCTAAACCTTCTGAGTATCTGGAACTATGGGAGCACACACAACCATGCCTGGCTAGTCTTTCTATTTTTAGTAGATATGGGATCTCACTCTTGCTCAGGCTGATCTCAAACTCCTGTCTTCAACCAATCCTCCCACCTTGGCCTCCCAAATGCTAGTATTACAGGTGTGAGCCATCATGCTTGGCTAGATTGATTTTGTAAAAAAAAAAAAAAATCATATACCTATGAGTTTTTGAGACAGGGTTTCACTCTGTTACCTGGCTAGAATGCAGTGGCATCATCATATCTCACTGAAACATCAAATTCCTGGGCTCAAATGATCCTCCTGCTCCAACTTCCCAAGTAGCTGGAACTACAGGTATATGCCATCACTCCTGGCTATTTTTTTCTACTTTTAGTAGAGACAGGGTCTCACTCTTGCTCAGGCTGCTCTCACTCCTGGCCTCAAGGGAACCTCCTGCCTCAGCCTCCCAAAGTGCTAAGATTACAGGCATGAGCCACTGCACCCAACCTATAGGTATACATTTTTATACCAAAGAATTTAGCTCAGTACATACATACATGTTCACAATTCTAAGTCAGGGGACCTAAATTGAAATTTTAATAAATTTTAATAAACATACATTAATTTAATAAACGTGTATAATCCTTTATACAATGGCAAGATAAGTCTTGGACAAAAACAAGAATTGAGAATAGAGTTTTAAAGAGAAATCAATCTCAGAACTTATTACTTTCCTTTGTAAACACTAAATAGACTTCTGAGACAGTCTAACATACTAAATTAGTGCATCAAAAACCTTGCAGTTCATAATTCAAACTGAGAAAAAAACACATGAAAATGAATTTCCAACTTAGGTAAAAGAATTGTTCTTTTTCATATTGTTCTGCTATTTCACTTCATTGGCAAATAAAACCATGATCCCTAAATTAACCTCTGCATGATGTACAAAGAGATGATTAGGTCAGTAGCAACAAGTGAGCTATAAGCTAAGACTTGATGGGCTCTCTTCCCAATCTAAACTATAATGTGGGAAAAATATATTTCCTAATGAGGGAATTCGCAAATGCTTCTTTTTAAACCACAGAAAGATCATCACATTTAGTGATTACTATTTGGTACTTTCCAATTAAACAAACTGGGTGAGGTGGCTCATGCCTGTAATCCCAGTGACTGGGGAGGCTGAGGTGGATGGACTCCTTGAGTCCAGGAGTTACAGGATGAAGTAAGCTATAATGTATCACTTCTCTCCAGCCTGGGCAAGAAAGCTAGACTCTGTCTCTTAAAAAAAAAAAAACAAAACAGGAATCCAATCTTACAGCTTCCTCCCTGGGCACTTGGAGGTTATTTATAACTTTAGTCACTTTACTCATTAGGCGATAATGCTCAGAATGGATGATTCTGGGATGCTTAGCATTTTTCAACTGTGGATTTGTATTGCTACAGATAATGTATCAGCTCTAGTAGATATAATCTTGTCTCTCGCTCACTGGTTTATAGGGTAATACAAAATATCTATTTTCCAAATAAATAAAAAAGCAGTCTTTACGAGATTATCTTCTTAAAAACAAGAGTTCAATAGATGAATTCATCTGTTCTCAAGTTTAAGTAAAAGACAAACTCCATTTTTTTCGTTAAGATAGGCATGAAATGAACGAAAGTCAACAGTGCTTTACTTCTAATCTTTTTTTCCCTTTTTTGTCTTGAGAAACTTAAGAATATTCTCTGAGAAAAGAGAATTATCAACTTCTTATGCTCAATTCACTTCTTCCCCTTGTCTCTAAGGCTCCTATCCTGTGGGTTCAAACTGCTTTATTTTTCTCCTTACCACTTATTATTTTCTAACACATTATATAATTTACTTATTATATACCTGTCTCTTTCCACAAGGTAATGTATGAAGGCAGGAGTTTTGCCTTTTTTTCACACCAGCATCTAAAGGAGTGACAGTACATAGCAGGTGCTCAAGGAATGTTTGTTGAATGAATAAATATGGCATTTTTTCAGGATAGACCTGCTTACGATATACCAAACAGGCTGACAAGTGAAGAATACAGTATGAATAATGGCCTAGAAAATACTTTAATGTTAGCAATAACAAGGCTCTAGTAGAAGCAAAAATCTAAACTCCTTACAGATGGTTAACAATGCATTGAGTTAAACAACAAAGACTCAAATTCCGCTGGCAATAATTTTACAAGTGTATGGAAGCACCTAGATAGGGGCTGATAATGAGTTAGAAATAAGGGACCTCCGACTGATAAAACTTCCAGCACTAAAGAGTTTATTATCTCCATCGAAGTAATACGTCCTCACTGCCACCGCCCCTTGAGACCTAACCTTGAAATCTACCATCTACTTCGCAAACGGAGACAACAGCAAGAGGGCGAGCTAACCGTCGCAGTTACGGCCTCGGCGCTCCTTCCCCTCCGAGGCCAGCAAGTTGAGATGTCTGGGGAAATGGCTGCGGCGACAACTTCCTCGGGTTCTCTCTGGTCATCGTGAACTTGGGCACTGACACGGGGATCGACCCCCTCCCCACCAAAGTGCGGGAGGGAAAAGAAAGCTAGCCAGCGAGAAATTTTGCCCCGCAAACCCGCCAGCAGCTATGGCGGGAACCCTCAACGGCACCGACCGCGCCGTCGGCCTCATGCGCAGGCGGCCTCGCAGCCCTCGCGTGGCGCGTGCTGATTGGCTGATGGCGGGGTGAGGGGCGGGCGCGGCGGCACGTTGCCGCTGCCCCCGAGGCCTGTTCCTCTCCCCACCCCCCGCCCCGTCTTCTGCTTCGGCCCTGCCCTGATCAGCTCCCAGCGATGAGAGTATCCGGGTCTGACCCGGCCTCACTGGGCTCTCAGACCTTCTGGTCTCCCGTGACCGGTTGGGGGGCAAAGGCATTGCCCGCCTGGCAACGCTCGCCCTGGGTAGCTGGATTAAGTTTGGCAAGAGCGAGCGTCAAAGGCGCGGCTGAACCCAGTTTCGGCGGGAAAGCGGTTTATTTGCCGGGACCCCTCCAGGTGCACAGCCGCATCCACCCGCCGCTCACGAAACCTCCTGGCCCTTTCTGGGGTCCCCCTACCCCGTTTCCGCTCAGTACAGGCGGTGGCCGCACTTTCCCGACCCCACGACTCCCCCAGACGGATGTGCAGGCCGGCGGCCCTCTGCCACACTCGACGGAGTACCCTGGCCACGTTTCTTCCCGACAAAATAGCGGGCGTTTGGCCTCTACTCGCCACCCTTCTAGCCACCTCATCCACGTTGCTCTCCCCGTGACCCGGGGCCTCAGGTCCCTGGATCGCCATACTCACCGCCCCGCACTCGGTTTCCATCTTCTTCCCTGCTCTTCGAAAACGGGGGGAAAAGAACAGAAACCTAAAGTTTGAAAGCACCCTAACACCAAGGAAACAACACCACCTTTCCCGACTGGGATTCTCTCCCCCTGGTGGCGACGGCGGCTGCGGCAGCTGCAGAGGCGCAGGCCCGGACCCGGGGCCTGAACCTGCCACCCGCGGGGGATGGAGGCCGGGAGGGGCAGGCGGCGTCGCCTCGGGCGGCTGGTGGCGGTGCGGGCGGGCGCCGCAAGCCGCAGAGGGGCGCGGGCGGGAGGATTTCCCCGGTAGCCGGTGGTTTCCGAGCCCGGACGTCGCAGCGCGGAGCGCACAGCAAATAGGGGCAGGCGTGGGGTGTGCGGGCCGCGGGCTCGGTCAGGGGACCACTCCCGCCTGCTCTCTGACGGCTGGGGAGGAGAGAGCGAACCGTAATGCCAAGCTACATGCACAGCACGCCTTTCCCTCTCTTCGACTTTGAAGACGAAGAGTTGGCCTCTAGGCCTGGTGGGTTTCGAGATGTTGCGGTGACCTCAAAACTTTACTACCGTGCACGAAGCCGGTTGTGGGGCGACATCCGAAGGCTGGGGTGAGATGAAGAAGGCAGTTCCCAGAGTCAAACTCTGACCCCCGTGGCCTGACGCGCCAAACTCGCCGGCTCCAGAGAGGCCATGGACTTCACTCTGCACCTGTTGTCGCCGTCACTCAGCCCTCCAGGCGGGCGGGGCAGCGCGGGCGATTTGGTTAGGACCCGCCACGCAGCCCTGGCCCTTGTGTCCGCCTCAGGTTCGCTCAGCCTCGGAAGCTGGTCTGCTGCCAAGGGCACCGCGCGCTGGAGGGAGCAAGGATTGTGCGACTTGGGTGGAGCGGCCCTGGCCTCCGATAGCCCTGGAATCTCCTTTGAAAGACCGCTTTGTGAAGGATACGTGTTTCTAAAAAGGTAGCTGAAGTAGTTACAACTAGATAAACTTATGTAGTAATGATTATTGTTATTATAAATACTACTTATTAAGGACTCGCTTCGTTTCGCAGTCCTTTATGATCGGTATCATTTAATCATTTCATTCTTAATGTCACTCATCAGATTGCCATATTGCAGGTGATAAAGCAGAGGTTTGAAGGATAAGCAATCTGACCATGGTCTAAACCTACAGGATATTTAATCATTATGCCATAAACTTGTAAAGAATCAGCAACAACGGGTAAGAGTTACATCAATAATAACTTTTGTATACTCTACTGTAAAAGTTTGACTTTGGGTTGTTTTATTCTCAAGATAAAGTGTTAAAAAATAAGCAGAGGGACTACATTAATTTTTAATCTGTTCAAAAATTAGGTCTTCATATTATTTACCAAAAATAAAATGGGAAACAATTTTTGTTTACCTGGGTTGAAGCAACCTAAAAGTCATCACATATTTCTGCATGCAATTTAAGCTCATTTTCTCCTGTTTTAGTCTGTATGGAAATAGAGAATATAGACCTAATTAAATTAAAAGTCATATTCCAGAGCATAATTTCACTGTTCATTAGCATTAGGACTGACCTTCTTTGGGCATATTTTTTTCTAATAACGATGATGGATTTGAGTAGAGTCTCTCTTGCCCAAATCTTTTTCAACTAAAAACATCTTTTTTTAAAGACTGAATTTTCTAAAAAAAAAAAAAAATTATTCACTACAGTAGGTGTTTAATCTGACAGAAGTGAACAACATTTAAGGAACATTGATTCTTATAATTTTTACACCAAAGGGAATTTTCTATTTCAAAATAGCATAAACCGTGTAAAATTATACAATTTGCTCAAATTTAATAGTTATTTATAGAGTTCCTAATATGAAAAGTATATAATAGAGTATGATATGAGAGATACAAAGATGAAGATCAAACTTCTGTCCTCAAGGCATTTTAAATCTAGAAAGGTAGAAAAAACTACTCAAAAATAGTAATTATATTTAAATATGCTTATAATAAAGCAAATACAAACAGAATAGGATAAGCAATAAATAAACTATGTTTAAAGGTCTGTGGGAGCACAGTGTTGAGGGCTGTGTAAGGGCACCATCAAGGCCAGTATGCTGGTCTGGGTGGAAAAATGGGAGGAAAGATATTGAGCTTGTATCATGTACTCAGTATTAGGCTAGACACGTTCTTTCTGAATCTCTCTGTCTCTCTCTCATTGGAAACTCGAATCTTAGAGAGGTAAAATGACTCTTGTTACGTTGCTAGTAAGTTGTGGACACAGTTCTCAAAACTTAGTTCTTTTTGACTCCATTGCCCAAGCAAGTATATTCTGCCATGTTATTTATACCATCATAGTAAAGAGTTAGAATTTTATTCTGGAGACCTTTGCAAATAGGGGGCCATTGAAGATTGTCACAGGAGTGAGAATAGAACACTGAGAAGGGTTAAAGAGATACTAGAAAGGAATTGAGACTGTTGGGTATGGGTGATGGTGGAGAAAGATTGAAGCTTGTTTAAGATGTCATTTATAAAGACAACTATAAATAAAGATAACTTTGTAAAGATAATGTAAAAAAATTGCAAGACTACATATCCCATTTTCTTAAGTTTTCTGCTAGTGTCCCAATGTTTCTTAACTTTTTCCTTTACATAGTCTGTTCAGAGCTTAGTACTTGTTTGGGGGATTTACCCAAACCTACTTTCTTTCTTGGTTGCCTTCCATTGACAATGGCAGTTTTTCCTTTCTGCCTCTTGAGTTTTCTAGCTTCAGATTCTAGCTCCTAATATCTGCTTCAAGTTCTTATTTTCTTGATAATTCTTTGAATCCATTCTCCAGCTTATAGACTTAAGATAATCATTGCATGCCCCCGTTAAGTCCCCACTTTGTGCTAGATTGTGGGCTATAACAATGATTAAGGCCTGGTTCTTGCCCTGGTAGCAAGACCTGATAGCACTTTGTGGTCTAGTGAGAAAAACAGCTATGTGAGTAGAAAGTGTATGCATTTACTGTGCTAAGTGCAGCAGTAGAAGACTTGCCAGGTACAGATATAGCTGTACCAGACCAGAGAGTGATTTAACCTGGTAGATAAAACAACATGGAAAGAAGATGCCTTTGTTTCTATTTTATTTCTACGTTATTGCCAGGTCTATTAACCTATTTGTTTTATTTTGGAGAATTATTAGGTGTTTTCTTTTTCTCTAGAATGGTTGGATGTTTGAAATAAAAGAGGTGAGGGACAAGGTTTTTAAAAGGCTATCTTAAGGAAACAAAAAGGGCACCTCAGATTTCCTTTTCCACTATAGGAAACATAATATTTACATTTGGAGAGGACATTACAAAGATGGTTGCGACCCAGAAGAACTGTATTAAAGGGTCGCAGCATCAGGAAGGTTGAGAACCACTGGTCTAGATAGTGTAATATCTGATTTAATGGAAAATTTCTTGTAAAAAATTAGTTTGTTTATTAAATGATTGTGGTGTTTATTATGAGCAATAGGAATATACCATATAGAACTTCCTGCATTTAAGGTAGGAACTTGATAAGTATTTGAAGAATAAATACATGAACAGATAACTCTCACCCCACTCTCTACTTTATTCCAACCTATACCATTTAATTCTTATTTTAGATATCTCTACTGTTAAGAGGCTCACCAGCTGCACTGTTGTCTAATACTTCTTGCCAGTAGAATAAGATCAGATACCTACTTTTTTGTCTCTAACTGGCAAAGAGGCGAAAGTTAGTTAAGGGCATTTTTAACTGTAAAGGAAAGTTTTAGTTGTAAGGTTTAATAAAAGGTATCTTTTTTTTTTAAAGGTGTCTTTTTTATAAAATAAAAACTAGAAGATTTCTTGGGACTTCAGATAGGCTAGTGCACAGCTATCTTTCTAGACTACTGTGACATCCTTTTGGATTGAGAGTGAAGAACAATTATTCATTGCCAGAGACATTTTTCTTTCTTCTTTTTTTCGCCCAATGGATATGTGCATTTTAAATTTTGATTGATTTCTCCTTTCCACCACCACTTTATGAGAGTACAATTCCTGCTCATTCTTGCACTATAATTTCTAATTCAGAGACATGCTGCCAACCTACTGATGGGTAAATCTAAAAAGATCACTGGTTGGTCCTTCAACAGCTCTGATATTCAATGGTTCTGTTCTTTTTTATTAATTGAATAATAATATTTGTGTTTATTTATAGGAGAGCAATGTGATATTTTGGTATATATACATACATGTGGAATGATTAAGTCAAGCTAATTAACATATCTGTCATCTCATGTACCTACCATTTTTCTTGTGGTGAGAACATGCACAATCTATTCTTCTAGCAATTTTGACCATATATGTTATTACTGACTATGGTCAACATTCTGTGTGATAGAGCAGCAAAATGTATTCATCTTGTCTAACTAAAATG